GTATTGCAAAAGCTGTGGATGAGCATCCCTGTAGTGTCTACGAATCGATCGAGCAGCTATGGCCGAATGGCAGTAGGCACAATGATTGGCTAGTTCGCTCATGAGGGCTTTGTTGAGGAGCAAGCCCGGGATACTCTTGTATCTGAGATGCATGCGGAGATCTGGTCGGTCACAGATCGGCACAATGGTGTCCTTGGTCGGGTCAAAAGCCATACAAACTCTCTTATTGATGTGATCCCTCAATCGGTAAAAATCAGTGAACCGCTTCAAGCAATGTCTGCACGTGGCTTGTCCGTCCAATGCATCCCGCAATGGAAGAAAGAGATCATCTGGGTTATATGGAATCTGATGATGTTCCCTAAGATGGCGTTTGTATGTTCTGGCCTGGGTGAAGGCTCGAGCACATTCCGGGCATCGAAGGACAGGTTCCTGTGGCGTTAGCATGGAGTCGATGAGAGGTGTGATGATTTGTGCTTCTGGATATGCTGGGATCGTGACACAAACATCTTCCACTGAATCATCCATGGCCGAACTGCGGAGAATATCCCGTCGGTGGTTCAAGGCTTTCATGAGTCTGTGGTAATGTTGTTGCAGGGTAATCCATGGTGGCCTAAGTCCAAGCGAGGTGAAGAACTCTGTGGTGGGGATTCGGGTGAGATGAACAGGGGCATGGGCAATCAATCTATGATGATTATTGATCATTCCAATGATCGCCTGACTGCCTGTATAGGTGACGCCCATCTCGAAAACCCCATACAGAACTGTGGGAAGAACACATTGGTTGTACAAACGAATTCGGATCTGGATGTCATGATGCCTATCAAGAAGCCACCTGCGGAGAATTCGAAAGCACGTTTGGGCTGCTGTGATCCGGCGACGAACTGTGTCTGCTTCCCATGCTCTATAACTCACTATGGTGCCGAGGTATGAGGTTTTGCTCACGAGAGGGATCGTCAGGCTTGTATCTGGCAGGTGCAGTATAGGACCTGTTGTAGGTCTGCTGGTCCATCGGCGGAGAAACGGGTTCAGCGCTCGACCAACCATGCGAGTGAGAGCCACGCTCTTTTGTTGATTGATACGGAGGCCATAGGCTCGAAACACCCTAAGCAAAAATGACAAGTCATGCAATGCAGCAAGGCCCTCTCTCGGTGAGGTGATGATCCATCTCAGGTGGATATCATCTGCATATATTAGGATGTGGTTGGTGATCCAGGCTTGATCATACTGGGCTAAAAGATCATGAAGGATGAGATACATGCTAATGGTCCAGAAGAAGGGGGCATCTTTGCATCCCTGTTTAATGCCGCCTGATGCTTGGAAAATGCCAACCAACTCCTTATGTGAAATGCAATACTTGTGAGGGGCCAACCACGAATGCACTAGGTGCTGCAGGTCTGCGGACATGTCGAAAACATGGAGTGCTCGTGAGACCATGGATCGGCTGATAGTGTCAAAGGCCTTTTCCATATCTAACGAAACCTGCAATCCTCCCCACAGACCCTGTTTGGCTTGGTCTTTGCCATGGACTCGGCACATTTCTCTCACTACACGGCTGTGCTGTGAGATTGTCAATAGACAATCTTTGGTTCCTCGGTGTGCCATGTACGCATACAAAGGCATGGTCTTGAGTGCGGGATACGTGTGAGATTGCATGAGTCGGCAGTGGATTCCGGACATGATCTTATTAACTGGGTGCTGAAGACAGATTGGTCTAAGTGCTTCAGGTTTATTTGGAGTCTTATTAGGTTTGGGCAGCAGGTGCAACCAGCCTGTCGACCATCTGGTGGGGGGGGATGCATGGGTCAGAGGTCCAAACTTGACGAATGCATGCATAAATGATGGGAGTGAGCTGTGGTGCGAATTGCTTCCAAATCAAGGCAGGAAATCCGTCTGGGGCCAGAGCCTTGGTGATTGGGAGTCTTTCAAGTTCCAGCTGTACATCTTCCTCGGTGAACGGTATGGTCTGCAGAGGCGGTGGATGAGGAAGTGGTGAGTGAACATCTGTGAACAAAGTTTGAAAGTATTCGACCAATCGATTAAGTTCTTGGTCCTGTGACATGGGAGCTCCTGTTGGGTCAAACATCTGGATACGACGATGCTGTTGTTTGGGACACAGTGTTCTGACACGTCTGTACCATTCACGCATCTGATTGCTAAGGGCAAATGGCACACTCTCCTCAAGGAATGTTTCTAATCTATGTTTACTTTGTCTACGATCGTGTGACATGATTCCATCTCGTAAACACGACCGTCAGGGTGCAAGGCTGAGATCTCATGAGCTGACGTCGAGCAAACCACATTTGTGCGCTCAAGGATCGTACCTGTGGGCAGAGCGAGCGGGCAACAGGTTTATTGGGAAATGAATGACACAAAGGTCACGAATCTGCTGTTCTACTGTCATGCAGGTATCCAGTGCGTTGGATTCAGTCGAAGTTGGCACCTGATGCAACAATTCGTGCATCTTGTGTTCAAACAATTGCCAATTCTCGGTCTGCATCTTGAAATCCTGCCTCAATTGGTGGCGGTCGATATGGGCCTGTTTGGGATTTCGTCGAGGAGGTGCAAACCATCTAGGCAGGGAAATGATTAACGGATGGTGTTGTGGTCCAGCGTTTGGCATAGATCGTTCAAATCTAGTGAGGACCCTGGCTTGGTGTTTTCTGCCTTGATGTTGATGTGCCCTAAGGAACATAAAGTCAATCCTAGATGAATGAGTGCCGTGCTGGAAGGTGGGTTGCCATTTGCCACGACAATGAGGTGCATAAAGATCAAGATCATGAACTAATCTTTGAAATTCATGCTTATCTGTCTGAGCAGCCAGACTGTATTTGGCATCTCCGGATTCGATGGCTGGAGGTGCAATATTCAACGGGGTGTTGCAATCTCCTGCAATCAAGAGCATGTGGTTCTTGGGAACATGTTTGATGGCCTCTTGGAGGGATTTCCAAACCATGGTTCGTTCATCAAGAAGAACATTACGAGGCTTGGTAGTGTTCCATGCAACTTGATATATGTTGAAGATATCATGCACTCTAGTTAGGTACAGCCGTATGTGTTGCAGGCGGCCTGGAATCATATCTGCACATGTGAGTTGATCCGGTCGAAGAAACGTTGTGCGAACCATGCACAGGGTGGAGGCACGTCCTGCGGAGCTGTGGATCATGTACCATCCAGGCGCAGTCCATCTTCGATTGAGATTCCAGCCAGTCTCTTGAACCAGAACCAACGTGTAGGGTTGGGAGGAACACCACGAGAGCCATTCGTCCAGCAGCAGGCTCTGAGATGCATTCCAGCTAAATATCTGTAAAGCCTCAACTTTCGACGACATGGAGGGCTCAACGGTTGGCTTGACTACTGGTCTATCTCGAAGTTCTGGCATGATCTGTTATTTCAACCTGAAGGGGACCATCTAGGGCCAGAGCTCTTTTCCTTTGTATTGAGCACATCCATGAAGGATTGATCTCTTGCAAACTCTACGAAAGCTTCTTTTAATGCGTTTACATCTTGATGGGTCAGAAATATGGCCGGAGCCAACAAACGGCCATGCCTCGTTGAGTTTCGTGCCAACCTAATTCTGCTTGGAGGTTGCAATATAAGCACTCTGGCCACAGGACGAAGAACCTGTGACAACCCTCACGCCAGACATACTGTGTGCAGGGACTTGTCGAACATGCTGCCGAAGTATGTCTTCCGGACTTAGGACCGGACTTGCCAACTCTTTGTCGTGTGTCGATGGTGCAGCGTGGAACATCCAGAAAAATAGGAGTATCCGTAAATTAAACATCCTCCACATCTTTTATAGACCGCGATTACGACTCGTCATGGTCGAGAAAAACCCCTAGGGGAAATGGCTGCACGAATCTAAATTGGCAATAATGCTTATAATTTCATATATATATATATTTTTTTAAATATATATTAATTATTTATATAATTTCCCATTTATTCATTCCCATCCATATTCATATTCAAATTCATTTTTATTTTCATTCTCATTCATTCGCTCCCACTCACACTCTCACTCACAGCCTCGCCTCATTCATAACCTCGCCTCGCCTGCGGCACCACCACCGCCACCATTCCTACATCGCCTCTCCAGACCCCAATACGTCTAAATCTCGAGACTTTCTACTACCACACGTCTAAACCTCACTCATACATTATTTAGGGTCTCTTGCCGGAATAATTAAACCATATAAACAATTTTACCAACCCCTAAACAATTTCAAACGATTCGTTAGGACACATATTAATCAAAAACAATTCTACCTTCCCCCCCCGGAAGAACAAATTGCTTTATTAATGATTTTTATCGGCATTAACATCGTTAATTGTCCGGTCATAAAAGAAAACAGAAGGGTTACAAAGACCGGCCACAGAGTTCAAAGGCACAATCAATCAATATATCCATAGTATTAATTGCAAACAAAAAATAAGAAGAAAATATACCCAACCACGAAAACAAAAACAAGAAGAAAACAAAGCCCGGACACAAAGCTCAATCACAAAATTCAAAACGCGACCAACCAAAATAAAAATAAAATCCGGACACAAAACCCAATCATAAAATTCAATACACAACCAATATATATAACCAGCTCTTTTCTAAAATAAAATCCCAACAATAAACCATTCGATGAAATATTTATCTATTATATATTCTAATTGTCCTTATTTTACATATACATTTATTTCCTATTTTTATTTTGTTAATATTATTTCAATATATAATAAAATTATATATATTATATATATATATTTTTTAAATCAATTACTTAAAATTGTAAATATAAATCAATATAAATCGTTTTCATATTTAAGTGCCTAATCCAAAAAATATATGTCTAATCGCAACCAAATATCTAAATTAATATTCATTTTCGATCATTCAACTAATATGTTATATTATCTAATATTATATGATTCGATGACATATGATTTAGCTAATTCAATATAATACAATACTACATTCATATTGATATTATTGTTTGAATCAATCATCAACCTGAATAGAAGCACACAATTACTCCCACATCAAAATACAATGTCCCTTCTCGCCTGTGCTGCCGTCGGCTGTGATGCATTTGGAGCCGAGAACCTTAGACCGCGGATTCACCGGTGATCAACTGCAAATCAATTCGCTCGATGTCCATTTGACCTGCTCGAGGTCCTGGAATTCTTGTCCGTCTTTCCTTTGAATGCCAAAGGTCAGTAATAGAATCTAAACTTTGAGTGGTTCTGAATACCAAACCAAGGGTGACGTTCCCGCGTTCCATCCATTTTCACAAGTGACTTCGGGGTGTCCAATAAGTCAAAGGATGAAGTGACGTTCAAAAAAACCGTGCAGCTGAGCAAATATCGTCACTGATGTGGCACCACTACCACACGTCTCATAGACCATGCGGAATGCAATGTGGCGCCAAGGTGAGGCAATGAGGTGGTACTGTATACAATGAAGTGGCGCCTTGCGTGAAACGTTCTGCTCCTGACTAGTCTATAGTTCCGGCGAGTCGTTTCGTTGAGTCGTTCGCTGCAGCTTCTGGAAAGAAAAGTGTGTTGCCAGAAGCATGTCTTGTTGATCATTACCCCCCTGCAGAGGACCACATGGAACCTCAAAACTACTGGGTTGTAGAGGAAAATGGTCTTCCACTGGTCAATCCTCAGGTTCCTTGTTCGTTTGGGGTGTATCTTTGACATTCTTTGACTATCGATTGGAGGACTAAGCCAAGAAGCCCGTCCCCAAGACCGGACTGAACAGCCGATCCGTAGGGTTCCGGGAGGCTTTTGGACACCAACATGTCAACACCTGCGATCACGCGATCGCCGGGGGGGGTCATCCTCACCCTTGGATCTTTGATCCCTCAATTTCATCCTCAATTGGAACGACTTACAGTATATTGAACATACAGAAACAATAACATCTATAGATGCATGGATACATCTGGCTTATTCTGGCTTCATCAAGCTCACCTCACCACCAGATCGATGTACTTTGGATGTTGAACCTCTGGTGATTTGAACCAACCGGGCCTCACCTCCTTGTGCTCCGGGTGACCGCCGGCCGCTCCGGGCCGATCTCCAGGGCGGTGGCGCCGAAGCCTCGGACGAAGGGAACGAGTCCAGAACGGGTCCATGCAGTTTTCTTCAATGGGAGCTGTGGCTCTGGTGCTGAACGCCCCACATCCGATTTTGTGCGGAACATGCAAGCTTCCTTTGCCCAGTGATGTACATGACTCTGTCAATGTTCGTCCATCATATGGAGAACACATTGTCCTTTTTTCACTTGAGAAACACGTTTCCTTCATGCCACACCAGTGGCTGCACGACTTCGCTCGCACAATTTCGCTCCAGGATTTCAATTGGGTGAATTCGTTCTTTTCCATCAACGACTCACCGACCTACTCACTCATATCTCAACACCCCTTCGCCCGCGCGGGTGCCCACAATGCGCGCTTGGAGTTGGAGCTTGGACTTGGATGTTGTGGACTCCCAAGCAATGCCTTTGAGGATGGAGACCCCTACCCTTTTTGCTCGTATTTGGCCAAGCAAGCAACCACAACATTCCAAAAATGTGGTAAGGAAAATAGATCATCCTCTTCATGTTATGAGTCTTCGGGAGTGTCAATTCATGTTGGCGTAGAATGTGGCCGAAGTGCCATGCGTAGATCGAGATATTTCACCAGGTTTCATCAGGCGACTCTTTTGACCGCAGCAGCCTGGAGAGATCTGGAGAGACTCTCCTAATATATAATCTGATATACTGTTATACTTGCTCGCCGCAGGAAAAGGGCGCAGGCTTTAAAGCAGAATTTCATATCCCAGCAACTCAGGCACGGCTTCTAAACAAAACGTCTCTACCACACGCACGAGCTACAATCCCAATGATCAGAATCTTGTGTGCCCATGCGTCGTCGGCGCCGGCAGTAGTCACAACAGCCATAGTTGTTTCTGTATCCATCTCGCCGGCGGCGCCTACAATCGCCATCAGAAACGCCACTTCCGGGTTCTATTTGTGCGGCTTCATCGTGATCAAGCTCGTCATCGATGACATCGGCTCCATGACCGTGTCCTGGCGTCTGCAGGAGGGCGGTCCTCTCTTCGCTGTCTGTCGCGGAACTGCGCCCCAAAACCCTTTATTGGCCCATCACTGTCATCACCCGCAACTGGAAAACGCTGAGTGCGACTGGGTTCCGCACGTCCACTGGCATCGCAAGCAGCAACAGGAGGACCTGCAAGAGAAATGGTTGCTATAGTCCCGATAAGTGTGAAGTTCGATTCATCCAAGTGCATGCTTCATGGCCTGTGTAGCTCAAATAGATTGGGATAATTTGAGAGGCCTTCCAGATTTTCCCGACCCTAAATTACTAAGTCTACCCAGGCGAGATTTCGGTAGTCTCTGAAAAAAGACGACGCCCATCGATGGCCTCTGCACTCTGAAAAGCAACAGTGCATCCAAGGCACTGAGCAAAGCTTCATGGAGCGGGTCAGGCGGGTCGCGAGGCGAGCTGTTCAAGGTTTTGGACCAAATAGCACAAGTGGGCATATTCAATTGATGAGCATATTATCCAAGAAACCTTCAAACTTCAACCTTCCTCACTGGCTTGCGATCTCAAATCTAATCTATCTCAGCACCTTCCGATCCTTGGGCATCTCCTACACTACACGTGGATCTCCGAGATCGCACCCCGAAATGAATGTCGTCTTCAGGGCCTAGAACTTCTCCAGGAACCCAAATTGCCCCAAGAGATCTCGAGATACTGACCAGGTTTGCGCATGCTCAGTAATGCTCAGAAAAAAAAAACACACACCCACACCCATATCATCCCATTGTCTATTTGGCATTTTCGAGAGCTCCAATTCGGTCCTGTCGAGTGGATCCGATGTTCCTGGCTTTTCGGTGTAGAGCTCTCCCGGCACCGGACCTCCACCGGACCTCCACCTCCCAAGGCCGAGGTGCCACTGTGGCTCAGCACCAACGCGTCGACATCAAAGGCCAAGGTCCACCAATCCGCCCAGGTCTGCAACACGCCTCGGACCTCGGGAGACAGGTCGATGACGGTCGATGAGGGTCGATGTGTTCGATGGGAGCGCGACATGGGTCGAGGTAGTGATGTAGATGGAGATGATAGTGAGTGTCTTGTTTTTTTTTGGGGAGGGTGGGTGAGGTGTTTGTTGCTCAGTACTGCTCAGTGGATATCCAGGCCCCCAAAAAAATCAAAGAAACACAAGAACTGCCTTGGCCTGGAGCACCTCGGGGATGGTTGTATCCACGTGTTTTTGTGCTCCTGGCTCTTTGGGGGACCTGCCTTTTGGGTTTCTTTTACTCAAAGCCACTGACTCAACGTTTGGGTCGGCTGTGAAGCACCAGCTTCAAACGAGCTCATGAAGACCCCACGATCCATCGATCCATCGATCCGAGAGTGGAACGGTCAAGGTCGGAGGCGACCGATCCTTAGTTCGCATCGGACGGTGCATCGGTCACCAGTGCCAGGAGGTCACATTCTCGCTGTTTCAGCTGCATGTGTTTTTGATGGTTTTTGTATGTTGTTTTTTCATGTTTTAAAGTGTCCTTGGGCAGGTTGATGCAACTTTTTGTATCAACACACATTGTTGATACATTATCATGGAGACTGCTTGATACTGCACATGTTCTGCTCAGCTCTTCTCATGGATCTCATGGAGGACAACCGGTGCGTTGAGTCCACTTCACGACAAAGGACCAAGTTGATAATAGAAGTTGCCTGCATCTAAACACTTCAAGGCACTTCGACTGGCCAACTCTCCAACAAGTTCCGGTCACAAGGGTCACGAGTCACAAGTGGATTAACATCCGGTCTCGACCCCCCGACAGCGGTCTCCCATGGGGTCGACTGGTCTATATCCTGAACACCGGTTCTCCGTTCCTGGTTCTCGGTCTGTCGAACCGAGCTACAGAACCCTGTGGAACCATCCGATGCTTCAAGTAGTCTCCATCCCAAGCAGGTCCTTTCACCTCCTTGAAAACCCATGGACGTAACGCCTCCAGTCCCAGTGGCCAAGTGCACCAGTCCATCACTCTCTGGGAGGACCTCATGATGGTAGGCATCGAAACCGATGCCACTGAAAAACAATGATCAACGCTTCAACTTCAACATGCAAAAATCTCAGGTGGGGGAACCTTCGCATGAAGAATTTCAGAGCTGATAGGAAAGGCGGCTGGTCCGATAATCAGAAAACAACGACTGAGCAAAAGCAACGCAAAGCAAAAACGACAATGCACGGACCAGGGAGGAGTCAAACCTCCAGAAGATGGTGTCATCTGCTGATCACAGCGATGCAAGCCAACGCCTCACCCATTAGGCAACTGGTCCAACTGATCATGAATTAAACTCAGCACAATAAAATGCGCCAATACAAACACTGGTCAGCTCACTCGGCACGAACCTCCGAAACTTCTCCAAGCGAACTTGCGGGCTGGAGTCTCGGCCTCTTGGATTCTCGGGCCACAAGCAGAAATCGCGGAAAAAACCGACGGGCACAATATACAGCACACTATAACTCATATGAGTTGTATATTGTATAGTGTGAGCGGTCTATCATATGAGCACACTATAACAATATACAGCACACTATAACTCATATAGTGCTATCATATAACTCATATGAGTTCTCGAGTCTGGGTGCCCAAGCCAGCTTTCCATCGGCTTGCAGCTCCTGGCGAGGCCAATGAGTCAGGTGGGATAGAAGCGAATCCGGTTTGACTTGGGAAATTCACATCCAGTTCTCCAGTTTACCTTCTCAACCCATCTCTGCCACTTGTTCTCCTGCACCTTTGGCAGGTCTGTCACTTTGTCAGTGTCGGCGAAAAGAAGAAAGGTCGCATTCCAACCTGCGCCATGCCCACGATCGACAAACCACCCCGCATCATCGCGCATGTTTAAGGGTGGCTTGGCTTGCGGTGGCTGAAAAAACGAGCAGCTAGGTGAAGCCAGTGTGCAAATGGCTTTGGGCCAAACCTGGTGTCCTTTCAGGGCCAGGGAAAGACACAACACTTCTACCAGAAGATGGGACAATCACCTAGCGTGGCTAGCATGGGTGGAGAGATTCTTTGGACAGAGCCAAAAATCAGCAGACCATGTATGTGATCCTCCAGCGTAGTTGCAGCAAAAGGGCAGAACGCTAAGCATCTACTGGCCAGTGCCCCCAAAAGCCTATGGATTGGGGCTCGACCTCTTTTCCTCAGCTCGACCGGATGGGGGGTCCAGGCTGCTTGCCTTGATCTTTTTCCAGCTGCTCGGCGCAGTTCAAGAACTCCTCCTGCTCCGATTCCGAAGCGTCTGGAGTTCAACGACTGGTTTTCAATTCGATGGCCAGACTTCCGACAGGAGACACATGGCAACTACCCCATCATGCAAGTGTGCAAGCTAAAAAAGGTGACGAGATTGCATGGGTGCAAGGCGCCATCACACTATTTCAGCAGTGAAGCTTGAGGAAGAAAAAAATACCTGCTCTTACCAACAAGACGAATCAGGTATGAGTCCCAAACAAGATCCAAGGAAATGAGATGACTTGCATCGAACCTGTGAGAAGTGGCTGCATGTCGGCGGCTCACTCTAAATGGTGAAAACTAAGATTCTCATACAAATGGTCGAACTCATTGAGTGTATCTCTCGAATCTCACAGAATTTCAGCAACCAAAGGCTCTCACCAAATTTTGCCCCAACACCTCCGAATATAGTTACCAGCCGAAAACATGTCCAGTAACTCGTCCACCCGTCCAGCTGCGCCAGCGCATGCCGAGGTGGATCCTGAAGGGCCGTGCGGTGGCGAGAAAACATTGGAAAAAACCATGAAAAAAGCGTTAGTAACAAGGACACTATTGGGTGGAGGCCGTAGCAAACAGGTTGGAAGCCATGCTACTTGGAGCAAGCACGCTTTTATTGGTTGGAGGCCAGTCTTCCTCCTGTTTACCCCCAATTTTCTGGACACATGCCACGAGATGCTCACATGCTCAGGCACTTGCACATGTGAATGTAATGGGTGGGAACATCAGTACGTCGTCTGGCAAGGCTTGGATGTTCAAACAAAATGCAGGCTCTTACAGTACAAGCAGTTTTTTGATGCTTTGTGTTCTTCTATGTTCTTCTGAAACGCCGAATTTAGAACATCTTGTCTCCCGTGCTACAATCCCCTACTTGCAGGGCTTCCAAGAATCATCAAGTACCAATAATAAGTCAGGGCAAATGGCTCAACTTGTCTGAGACTCTGCTTAGGCCTTGGAACTCAGCAACATCTCAAGAATTCTCAAGAACATCAGTGAATCAAACACGCTTCCAAAACCAATGGTTTAAAACCTCCATGTCCTAACAATCGCCAATCGGGGGTCTCTTGACACTCCCCAAAGGAAACAACGCAAATCATTCATGGCAAATGCATGAATAACTCACTTCTTCTTCCAACTCTCAAAAGAGATACTTTGAAAAGTACTTTGAACTCTAGTTTCCCCCACGCAACCGTGTACGTCGAACGAAATTCCGGAGGTCCTTCCAATGCTGGGGCATTTGATCACCGGCCCGGAAATGCAGTCCTGACCAGAAAAAGCACAGAAGTAAGTGCTGATAAGTCAAGACTGCAGGGACTTCAACGTTGGCTTTCGCACTGTCATGTTACGCTGCTTTCGTGTTCCATGTTGCGCTGCTTTCCGTGTTCCAGGTCTTTCAAGTTGTGCCTCAGTGACCATTGGAGGGATTGTTCCATAGGGAAGACCGACCGCCGGCAAGGCCCCTGGAAGGTTCGAAAAAAACGGCCATCCACAACCCGGTTGGGTCGGTGTCTCCCGGTTTGGTATCAACATAAAAAAAGGAAAAGGATGATACGTAAGGGTCATCCTGTCTGGGTGTCCTGGCTAGACTACCCTACCTTACGTAAACAGGTCTCCATTGCACCCAGTAAGGAAGTGCTAGGTAGAAAAGGACTTTCTTAGACGTTCTGACCCACACCCAATCCTATTCACTTCTGGGGTGCGTGCTGAGTCCTATACAGCGGATTGACCTGGATTGACTGTGGATGACCTGCAATCAAGTCATCCTTCATAAGTCATCCTCCGATTTCATGGCGTTTTTGTATGTCACTTCGATTTGACGTCGTCTCAGGCCCGAGCCTATGAGACGGCCTTCGGGCAAGTGGCGTTGCTGCAAACGCTTCAGCAGAGCAGGCGACCTCAGTGTGGAGTCCTCAAGAGTCCTTGACGCTCTTAAACGTAGTGAACAAATGAGGCGGCTGCCATCAATCGAGATGAACCCGCTGATATACGATAATTACTATAGGTTTCAGGAAACAATTTGACAGGATCTAGGATGTTGGAACTACTAATCAAATCCCATAAATACCAAGTTGTCATGCCAAGTGTTCTTGGTTTGATCTATTTCTTTCCATTCGAAGTTCGTCCAAAGACACCTGTGTTGACACTCCTGAACCACCCGTGGAAACCCCGGACCCAGTCGGACTCATGGAACACCGGACGGTTCGAAGAGGAGCTCGAAGAGGCGCTGGTGCAGCCGCGGCTCCCACAGGCCTCGGGGCGTTTTGGACATTGAGGACGAAAGGCGACGGAAGCAAGCATAAAAAAAAGGAAGAGGGAGAGAGAGAGAGAGAGACAGAGAGAGAGAGAGAGAGAGACAGAGAGAGAGAGAGAGAGGGGGAGAGAGGGAGCGCAAGCACATGTTTTCTTACATACGCAGATACACTTGGGGATGTAACACCTGGAAAAGGTGTCGGGACCGCACCCCAAGGGCGTAGTTTCCGGCATGATGACACGCAGAAGTGAGGTATATAGTTTCAACTGCATGTAAGTAGCACGATTCCATCACTCTAGGATCTTATGAAACGAATATGCTAGCTCTTCATAATCCTATATATATATATAGCCTATAATAGCAAAGCATTGCCCGAAGATTGCTCACTCGTAAACATCTGTCGGATACCAAGCTTATAGCTTCGTCGACAGTCATTGCATAGTAGTCTTGCTTTTAAATCCTTCTTTCCAACGCCCAACGCCCCAAAAAGGACCACCGCGTCGCTCGCGGAGCGCAAAACCGCGTCGTTCACCGAGCGACGGACCCAAAGCCTCCGCGCGCTGCGGAGAGCTCTTCAAGGCCGCTGGCGTCAATCCTAAGTGGGTCGGGTCCACACGAACGGAGGGAGAACCCTTTCGGTCTTCGGGACGGTGTTCCGGCCAAGCCGGCCGTGGCCGGAGGCCTTGGGTTCGATGCTGCAGTGAAACAAAAAACAAAAAAACCAACCACACCCATATGATCCCATATGATCCCTCTCAGAATCTATATGATCAAGAAGGAACAGTTACTCAGGTGCTGACCGTATTTGCGACATTTTGAGACACATCACAACATAAATTCATGGACCCACACCCGCCTGACGGCAGGACTTGATTGCTGCCTTGCAAATTCGGTGCACATCTGTACAGAGTATATGGACGTATGGTCTAGTTGATGAACCAAGGATGATGGATTGCTCACATGAACTTTTGAACCCATCCTCGAGTACCCCACAGCAGAACCTCTGGCAATCTTCTATTATGATTGTCCCAGGAAGCTTTATTTCCAAGCCAATCTGAAAGGTGTTGGATTTAACAAACCCTCTGCACAAGACCTTTTCCATTTTTGGCGGAAGCCTCCAAAACACCATCCTGCAACTGAATCGAAGACTGTCTGGTCCCATCCTTGTTTTTGCTATGTAGCCATCACTGCTATGGCCCCAACGTGCAGAGCGCTTGTCTGTAGAGCTGGGTGTTCCGCACGTTGGTTGGAGACGATGCGCAAGACCTTCTCCTGGCTCTCCAGGACCTCAGTGCGAGGTCGACGACCAGCGGCGGCTGGTGGCCCAGGCGGCGGGTGTTCCAGCTGGATGGGCCAAGCAGGAATATACAGGGGGCATTTAATACCGACAGCTGCAGTCATAGAGTTCAGCTGCGTTGGGTGACCGAGCGACCTGTTCTAAAGTTGTGCTAGTTTTCATAATATATACACTCTTGACTATACTCAAAGCCCGCAGCAAGGGATTGAGTGGGGGCGCGTCGATTACCGTCCGCAAGTCCGTGCATCCAAATGGTAGGTTTCATTGATCAAGAGTCAAGAGTTTGAGACCAAACCACCTCCTGGGTGGGTCTTTCAACCTGAAACCAGCATGGGTGGACCTGGAGACCCATGCTAGACCTCATGAAACATATGCAACCAGTGCCCCCGAGCCAGGGGTGGTTAATGGATACCCCTTAACCTCTAAGGAGCTATAATTAGACACCCCTGGCCTGGGGGCCCTGGAATATGCCACCTCATCCTTTTCATCAATTGCAATAACGCGTGGAATGTGCAAATGCGTCATGCCCTAAGCCCTATCTGCCCCTTTGCCACTCTCTGCCTGGCCGCTCCCTCGAATTTCTGGCCGGCACCGTTTTCACTCGCTTTCACCATGCTCCGCCGAAGCTGATCTGAGTACTCAGGCCCGGCGCGGGTCCGTCTCAAAAGCTGCCAGGTTGTCGTTGAAGTTGAACCCCGCCTTGCTGCCGGCCGGTGGCTCGCCCTCCCGGAGCTCCGAACGACACGGTCGCGTCACGTGGGACAGAGTCGATGGGAGGCCGAGGGCTCGAGGGGTGAAGTTCAAACACCGATGGTGCGTTTCATGTGGCCAGTTGACTTCATTGCCTGCTAGATAGTTGAGCTTTCCCATCCCTGAACCCAGTGCCCACCCCACACTGGACGAGAGGCGCCCCCCTAACTGGGTTCCCCAAACTGGCAGCACTGCCAGGGAGCCATACATGCGCCAGTCCAGAGACGTCTTGGGTTGAAGGACCTGGACACCCAGAGTTGTTGACAGGTGGAAAGGGTGAGTGCAATGGATTTACTCACCATCCTCACTACCACACGATGATGTCATAAATGCCAAACCCCTCAACATCCATGCTGAAAATTACCATCAGGTTGAGTACGTCACACTCCGAAAACACATCTTTGCTCGTTCTTCACTTCTGAGACCCCCTGGCTAAGCTCAAGGGCACGGGCCGTTGGGAATCGATGAAAAAGGCTCTGCCCGACAGCAGGGCCAAGGTGAAGGCGCCTGACAGGCCGAAACCGTGGGACAGGGCCCAGCGACATCCAAAAAGCATCGAAAGACTCAACAAGTGTTCCAAATATAGCATTCCAATACATCTCTTGAAGGGGTCACCTTGCTATCTAGCAAAAACACTTTGTGTGCAGCTGGGGCTTCTGGCGCAAACAACTATATATATATATACCCTCGAAGTCCAAAGACTATATTTTGACCGGCTGAGGTAAAGGAAGTTCCCTTTCAGGTCCCCTAAAGACCATTCTTTTTATAGTCTTTGACTACCAGGAGGGTATGTATATATAAATGCATTATATATACAGTATCATACTATAATAATTACTATAGACATATAGAGAAATATATTACGATAATTATATCACATTAATTGTTATATATATATATATACAGTTTAAAAGAAGGTGAATCGGTCAATCATCCGAGCGAACGAACATGTCACCAGCGCTCCATCGATCCTGAGGACCCCGACCAAGCATCCCATTCAGTCGATCTCCATGGCCACCGCAATAGCTCATGCCCTCAGCGGGGGTCTCCCCCACCGACCGGAACTGCCACGCTTCGTGTTCATCGAAGCGGGTCTGTGCCGGACCGGACAAATGTGGCAAATGTGGCACGGTGGCCGTCCAGTTTTTTTTCAATAAAGGGGATATGTCTCAATGCCAAGCAAGCAAAGCTTACGAGAATGTTTTTGCCGGGCAAAGCAACAAGAATGTCTGAAACATCCTGAAACTCTTCCCTGGAACACCTTCTGCAAAACGTTGTTGCCGAATCCGAATGTGTATTCCATGAGAGCCTCAGGCACTTGATTGTGGAGGGAGTAATTATATAAATTTATAGTGCTGTGCTTGTGCCCAAAGCCTCCACAAGTGTGCTTCTTTCACAAGGAACCTCACAAGTCAACACTCCTGGATGCCTGAGCACTGTCCCGCCTAGGCTGAGCACCCTGCTGTGCACACATACACCAACGCCTGGCCCACATGCGAAGCGACGGGTTTCTTCAGCTCCAATGAATCACCCAGACTCACACCTAAGCTCCGTCTCACCCATCGGAAGACGGGGCTTGGGCGTCCGGACCCCGTGACATACAATGGAAGGCGCCGGTTTGAAGATGTTCGGCGCAAATCAATATAGTAAAGAAGATCAAGGAAGGCAAACATCTAGGGTACAAGAAGATGTTCAACATGTTCTCCAAAAAAAACATATTTCTCTCCACAAAGTCCAACCTCATGCAGTCCAAAGTCCAACCCGGTGACCCACGCCGAAGACAAATTAGCGCCTTGTCCTGGCTTCCCATCCCTCCTCCTCGATGAAACCGCCAAAGAAGGTCTTCGTGAGCCTCGCGTGAGAACCACAATTATCTGCCATGCTTTCAATGTGTATGTGGATGTCTATGGGAGAACCCCCAGCCGAGCCCTTGGAATTGAAAATCCCTTTTGCCCATACAAAGTCTCACATTCTTATGGGGGTCACTTTGGAAAGTCTCACTTCTTCTCATCCTCTTTTCAGCGAAACACAGCTCTCGCTCTCCTCTCCCTTCGGACCGGAAAAAGGGTCGACTCCGTCCCTCCCGGTGTGACCTTCAAGCCACACCGGGGCCTGAGATGTCTTCTCTCCAAGGGCCCACCCAGAAAAAAAACACACTTGCAGCCATGGATGTTTGCCAAGTGAGTTAGTTGGCCCTTCCAGGGTGCTTTGCCTCTCCAAAAACACCAACGAAGTAGGAAGTCCGAAAAATGCCTCCACTCTACTCCCTCGATTCCTTGACTATCACGATCATCACGATGGGCCAAATCAAGTCCTCAGTCCCTCTGTCAGAAGGCCTTCAGGTAGCCTTGCAGCGCTCCGGAAGGCCTTGCTTTGGCAATCTTCGGCACCGATCATCTGTTGAGCGAAGAAAGGATTTGGGATCACCTGGAATCCACTCTTTGAAGACCTGAGGACTCAGGAACTCGCAAGTGGGGAAGACCATGCTCCCCCAAATTTGGCTCTCTCTCTGTCTTTCCCAAAGCCTCCAGACCTTTCACACAAAGATGCAAACAGCACGCCGCTTCAGGTAGGTCGAACATCCGAACATGACAGACCTCTTGCGGTGTAATCAGGAGTGTTCAGGGTTGCAACAAACAACTTCCCTGTTGAGCAAAGGTCACTGTGGGGGTGATCCTGGTTCTTCAAAGCGAACCTTTGAGATCCCAGATTGTGGCCACAAAAGACACATCTAAACAGTCCAAAAAAAAAAAACAAGCCTCCAAACATGTCTAAACATACCAGGACCCTCCTGTCGGGGTGTCTATTTATAGCCCCTTAGCTGTTAACGGGTGTCGACCACCCCTTGGGGGTTCTGGTATACGAATGATCCCCCTCTCAGACCTGTCCACCTCCAAGACACCAAGGCATGTTGGAACTTCGCCTGGACGCTTCGTCATGGTTGGACGGATCGAGGCTGGGGAAGAATGGGGACGGCCCAGCGCGTGGAGGACGGCCACGAAGCCACCCATTCACCCTAATTCCAATACGTCAAAGTCAACCAAGAAACTCCAACACCAGGGAGAACAAAAACGCGAGAACTTCAAATAATGGTGGACACTCGCCCGGTGAAGCACCCAAGCCGGTGAAACGCGCTAAACCACGGTAAAACTTCCTGAGTGTTTTTGGTGTTGTTGAGCAGGACTCAAATTCAAACAATATCACCTTTCCCGAGCAGCCCGCGCACAGGCATTTGGGCAAACCAGTAAAAGCGGGACTGTCCGTGAACACACGGGACAAATGCACATATGATCAGTTGCCAATATGAGTGTGGCCAGAAACCCTGGTATGGATCGTTCCGCGCTGCAGTGCTGGTCCAAGCCCTATGGATCAAACCGACAAGTCACTTGATCCAAGCCCCCGATATAAACACATCTGCATGGTGGCGCTCCACCCCACCACTTTCTCACCAATTCACTGTGAAGGTGGTGGCTTCCCAGATCAAAGCCATCCTGTTTGTGGCAAGCCTGTTTTGAAGTACTGGCCGCTGCTAAATTCATTGGGCCCCACTGTCCACATATTGGGCCATGGTTGGGTACAGTGGTGGAAATGAGCGTCGGGGCTCATTTCTCCAACCCTTGTTTTGGCTCAAGAAGACGATACAAGAAGCCTAAAAAGGCCATTAGCTGGCCACGCGTATTAGGTGACTCAGTGGGCTCTCAAGTCATTTAATAGGTGGTGGCTTCAGCCCTCTAGATTGGAGGCTCACTCCAAACACTGGTTACTGGTTGCCGCTAATTCTGCTTGGCCTTCCACTATCTTGTCTTCTGGCACCTTCTGTAATATGGTATAGTTGGATTGGCTCCTCCACTCAGAGGCTTCCATAGCTTAATCGTTAAAGCATCGGTCTTCAACTCGCTGCTTCCACGGTGTCAGGGCTCGAGTCCTGCTTAGGGGATTTCAATAAATTATTTAATTTTTGGTTGAATCTAGTGGCCTTGGTCGTTTTGGTCGTTAAGGCCCTGTATGGATCACTTCAATACTCAAGTTACCGGCTTCTGCTAGTGCTTTTTCCACTCGCACCAGCAAAGGTTTTGTGGCTTACACGCTTCACGTTTCTGAAGAAGAGGAATCCGACGATGATTCCTCGCTGCTTGCTGCTGCCGCTGTCAAGCCCAGCCTCTCTCTACGAGCCTTGATGCTCTTCCTTGCCCGCGCCTCCTCTTCTGCGCGGAGCTGCTCCAGCAGCGGGCTCCGTCTGGAAGTTGCGCCAGTCTTTGCCCGTTGCTGGGCACTCAAACGACGGGCTAGCAAATCAAATGGCAAGGGGTCAGACTCGGGTGTGTCTTTCCTGTACGACACTCTCCAGTCCGAGTCCTGACAAGGCTTGATGGTGGACACAGCAACCCCCAACTCTTTGCCCCCTTGCAACGGGCCAGACATCCTGTCAGAGTAGACGCAATCCTTCATCCTGACTGGGAAGTTGGAGCTCCCTGTCTGGCGGAAAGAAAGGCAGTATGTATACTCAATTCTTCAGATCGCCTCTGCTGTTGTCCAAATATCTAAAAGTTGGGGGCTTGTCAGGATGAAAATGGACAATCTTGTACTCTGGTCCAGCTGGTGGTGGGCCCAATGTCATGGTGCTCTCGGCACCCTCGCTCAACGCACGAAGCAGCTCGCGCACTGTGCCAATCACACACCTGCTGGCACGCGAGTCCAGCCACTTCTTCTGTAGGCCAAACTGTCCATCGTTCCGGCCTTTGCCGTGATGTTCTCATAGTGAAAAGTGACAGAAGACCATGATGAGTTTTCCAGAAGATCGATGGCAGTCGCCACGAAAGCATATGCGGGAAAATGTGGCCCACATCCTTCAAGGCAAGTGCTGCGTGAAGAGCTGTATGATCCAGGATTTGAGAAACATAGTTCAAGTACAGGCTTCGGAGCTTCCCATCCTCCCAGAATCTCACACAAAAGCACAAAACTGAAGCACTCAATCGCGCTGTTGCCCAAAACCAAGACTGCTCCTCTACCGGTCCAACCGGTATCGTCAGATTCTCCGCGTAGTCCAGTTGAACAAGGACAGCAGTTGCTGGTAACTCTGTCTCCAACCTTTCCCTCTCTCGATGCTGCCTGCGCCAACTGTGAAAATGGTGCTCGCAAGCTTCCAAAGTCTGCAGCTCACCTTTGAAGAGGTTGGAGGCTTTGGCTTCTGCTTCCTTCAACATGCCAGCCACCAGTTCTCTGAGAAGGCTCCCTTGTCCTGTCCTAGGCCATGCTCGCCTTGTTCGCTAAATTCACTCCAGTGAAAAACACTGGCTCAACCAAGCTTGCAGGCTTGAGGCTGTGTGTGAGATGCTATGCCCCCCTCCAACAACAGGACGCCTCTCAAAAGCCAAAACGGCTGTCCCTAGTAGCAGTGGCCTCCAAGCCACTAGCGATGACCTCCAACCTGCATTCTTTAATATGGTCTAGTTGGGTTGGCTCCTCCACTCAAAGGCTTCCATAGCCTAATGGTAAAAGCGTTGGTCTTCAATTCTCTACTTCCACGGTCCGAGGGTTCACGGTGCGAGGCGCCGTCGCATCGTTGATCAGCATCCTCCTCCCAGAGCGGGGTGCAATGCACATTGCCCAAAGCCAGCTCTCCAGGTTGTCATAGATTTGCCCCTTGCGGGCGTCCAGCGCGGCGGCGGCTCGCTTCGCTGATACCGCCATCAAACCCACAAGAGAAGCTGCTCCGAAAAAGCTCAATGCAAGCTTGGGCCACCAAAGCGCAGATTACAACTTCAGCAACAGCAAGACATCATTTGATAGCTTGCGACTGACTCCAACCTTGCTATAGCCACAATCTATCGCTGTCCATGATTTTCCCCAAACAGTTTACGGCTGGGGTTCTTTCTTGAAACAAAAGAGCTGGCCACACCCCCTGAACTCTGTGACTGGGCTCCGTGGCTGGGCTCTGTGTCCAGGCCTTGTCCTCCTCTTGTCCTCTGTGGCTGCTCTGTTCTGTCTCCACCCCTTGTCTGTTGTGGCTGGGCTCTGTATCCAGGTCTTGTCCTCCTCTTGTCCTCTGTGGCTGGGCTCTGTTCTGTCTCCACCCCTTGTCCTTTGTGGCTGGGCTCTGCGTCCAGGCTTTGTCCTCCTCTTGTCCTCTGTGGCTGGGCTCTGTGTCCAGGCCTTGTCCTCCTCTTGCGCCTCTGAACTCTGTGGCTGGGCTGTGGCTGGGCTCTGTGTCCGGGCCTTGTCCTCCTCTTGTCCTCTGTGGCTGGGCCTTGTCCTCTTCTTGTCCTCCTCTTGTCTTGTCTCGGCCGCGCCCCTGAACTCTGTGTCTGTGGCCCGGCTCTGTGTCCGGGTCTTGTCCTCCTCTTGTCCTTGTCTTGGCCGCGCCCCTGAACTCTGTGGCTGGTCTCTGTGGTCCGGCTCACTGGAGAGGAGTGTGGCCGAACAAGTAGCGATGTCAATGCCGACAAAAATTCATTGATGAAGCAGTTTGCTCTTGGGGTGAAGGTAGGGCGTACCAAGAAATCGATTTTTGACTAATATTGGTCTTGCTTTTATAAAAAAAATCCAATAATTTAAATATTTCCATGATTTTTGTATCGTTCCATGATGTAAATCTTTCTATGATATGAATTAATAGTAACAAAAAAAATATATTTATAATAAGTAGTTCAAAGTCATGTTCAATTAAAAACCATAAAAATATATAAATATTTATTGATCTATTTCATTTTTCAATTATATATACCATAAAACTATTTTCGCTTTTGTGATTTTTCTTAAATCTATTTCCATGAAATATATCTTTCTATGATATGAATTAATAAACAAAATATATACATATATCATATATATATAATTGGTTCGATTCAAAAATCATTTTCGATTAACACAGCCCGCTGAAGAGCGTAATCGTACAGAAAGAGCTCCGAAGCAAGAAGCAAAATTGATCGAACACTGACGGGCTCACATACCAAAAACGCTCTTTGTGAGACACAATCGAGCAAAACTGATAAAGCCAGCGTCTTATCAAAAAGGTGGATCAGCTACGGCTGAAGCAACAGAATTTGGAAACCATATTGTTGCTGGTCGCTTCATGCTTCGAGATTACGAGGACGAAGTTGAAAAGGGCCTTTGGAAGACAATACCATCGGTCCACCATGATGAAAAACTTCTTCGAGCAATTGCACTGGTCGAAGGACAACAATGAAGCAAAAGTTAAGCAGACAAGGCTTGAGATTTTCTCGTGAATGTCTGTCTTCAATGACAAGGGCAATCAGCGAAGAAGCTTATCTTTCAAGGTGAGAATCGATTGGATTGGCGAGTTGCGCCACTTGTGTTCCAAGGCCAAGGCACAGAGCTCGTTGAGCCCCAACTTAAATGGTTTTGGAACATCCTTGCGCTGAAGCTTGTGGGCAATCAGCCCGCCAAGTTCATCCAGAGCAATTCGCTCTGCTTCTTCAGCATAACCGTCCTCCCGCGAAGCGCCTGCTCGGATTCGCTCGCCGAGGGCTTTGCCCGCAGCCGCGGAGAGGCAAACTTTGGCGTCGGGGAGCCAAACTCGTCCGAACCGACTGCCAGATGGAAGCATGCGGTTTAAACATTCGTACGGGTCACCCGGCCGGATCCGAAGTTTCCCTGCCGCCGCACTGGAGCTCCGGGGCGAATTACGTTGCAACCCGGCGTTTGCCAACAGGGCCTGGGAAAAATGCACGACGGCGACGGTGTCGAATTTCTTAGGGCAATCGTTTGCACAATGGGCGCATTCTGCGAGACCCACCGCGCGAACGAAAGACCCGTCGGAAGAAGGGTTTGGTGAAACAATGGCGGCGTGTTGTGCCATTTCGGCATACATACACGCAAGGCCTCGCGCAGGCATAGCAGTGCTGGTGGCCAGGGTGAAACGTTGAAAATCACTTGCGTTGTGAATTGGCTGTTTGGTAGTCCGTTCCAAACGGGTCCGGACTTCCTTGACAGCATTGGAAAACTCGGGCACATCACGACCAGACGGTGTGAGCGCCAGCAGCTCCAGCAAATCTGGATCGCTACTAAACATAAAAACGTCGCCGTCGAAGTCGGCGCCGCGAATTGCGCAGGCCGACGGCCCAAGCCGGGTACAGCACAGCGAATTATTGCAAACATGCTTTGCATGTTTCGGGAGGGGGACGGCCTCCCAGACTTCGATGTCCCAAGGCTGGAGCATAGGGTAGCTCCAAACAGCGAATTTCCCTACCCACTGACTGCCATTAATTACGATGTGGCACTGCTTGTCCTGCGCGGGGCTCAAAGGATACACGAAGCAGCCTTTGTCAATTTGCATGCTTCACAGCTCGAAAAACAAACAACGGCATCTTCGAGGCTAAAAGAAAGCAAGTTGCAGCAAGGCTCCTTCAATTTGCCCCATGTGTCTGTCCACGCCCTGGCTGACCCAGACAAGCCTTTCTTGAAAGGCAGCGCGGGCTTGCGGTTGTGGCCATTGACCATGGCATTGAACCGCCGGCGCCCGCGCTCAACCTGTCTCAGTGCGTCAAGCGTAGGTGGCGCTACACGCTCAAACCCATTCGGTTCCTCCTGTCGTGGTTCACCTTGCTCCGTCATGGTGCGAACAACACACGTGTGCTACACCTGCAAGCAACCTAGGGTGTGTTCCCGTGACACAACTGCTCACTAAGGTCCCGAAGCAAACCAGGCGGACAGCTCCGCTACCACGTTTGTGGTAGGAGCTTTGCTATGACTTTATGTGCTTATTTACAATTCACTAATTGCAAACAGCTTTCATTCATAGTCTCATTTTCTCCTTGAGCCAAATTATTCGGTATTTGGTCGCGTGCGAGCCGCTCACACGTGGTGAACGAAAAAGCTCCTGGCTGCAAGCAACGTTCAAACAAAGGGGCTCGTTCGAGTCTTGTTACCTAAATCTTTGCCAGAATGGGAAGTCAAAATTTGAAGTTGAATCTAGTGGCTTCCGCTAAATCTGTGGTGGTGGTAATACTAGTGATAGTAGTGAGTAGCAGTAGCAGCAATAGTAAAGCTGTTGTAGTAGTAGCGGCAGGTGGCAAGTGTAGTGGCAGTAGCAGAAGGAGTGGTGGCAGCAACAACAGTAGTAGCAGCAGAGGTGGTTGTAGTAGTAGTAGTAGTAGTTGTTGTTGTTGTTGTTGTTGTTGTGGCAGTGGTAGCACTAGTAGTTGTGTGGTCCAAGGGCTTGGATCACACACCTACCTTTTGATCCATACCCTATGGATCGAGGTATGGATCGTGTGCGGGTTTGGGTGTGTGATCCAAGCCTTATGTATCTGGCCGTAGCCATATATAGTTGTATCTCTTATACTGGAAATATGCAGTTTCCCAAAGCATACGGGGAAGTATTGTCATTGCTTTAAGTGTTAAGCTAAGCTTATATATAGTTCTCATGTTGCCATGACTTCAACAACGCGAGGAGAACTTAAAGAACTCTTACGGCAGCCACCCGGAAGAGTTTCATGCGATGGTCTGCAGCATTTTTTTTTGCAGGAGCCAAGGGTCGATAGACTGTATAATTACATCCAATTACCTCCCCAAACCCAACTACTGAACACCTGGTGAACCACCCAACTACTTCCTTACTGAACACCCCAATTACTCCCCAACTGAACACCTGGTTTTTTTCCGCAGCAACGGAACGTACTCGCTCGGAACGGAGCTCCCCCCCGAAGCGGCCTGCTTGGGCTCAAGCCACTGGGCCACCGCTGGGACCTGACCCGTACAGTAACGCGGTCCATCCGCGGGCCCAAGCCCACCATTCTCCGTGAAGTTGGTGTGTTCATAACTGCAGGATACTGCAGGTCAAACAAGTGGGTCAAGCTCCATGGTGTGGGGGGCTCCAGGTGTTGAACAATCCCCACATGACTTATACTGATACTCATTGCATCTCATTGCTATGCTCTCCCCCTCCTGCACTGCCATGGAGAGCGAAATGTCTGGAACCGTTCCGCGCTTGGATCGAGGCGGTGGTCGCCACTGCGCGCGGAAGGACGTGGATGCACTGGATCGAAGTCTATGAATTAAGTGAAGGAACATGAAGGAACATCTTCACTGCCGTGTAGATCCTTGATAGGTGTAATATATTATATGCCCACTCTCTGCCTATTGGTCACAGTTCTAGGCCCTTTTTCCTGCTGAGCCTCCGGGCGCCAAGTCCGCCTCTTCCGGATGTGTCAAAAGCCTCCGCCGATGCGAGCTCTTCACGTGAGCAGATTCGAGCTCTTTGAGCGTTCCAAAGATTCCAAGGGCAGGGTTGAAGTACTTGGACCTGTGGATTACGCGGCCCGTTCCGCGGCAGGCTCGGAACGTAGTCGGTCAGTGGGTCAAGAAGACTGAGTTCTTAGCAGGGCCCATGAACCTCACCTGTGGTGCAGTGGAGACCCATTCTGCAAAGTTACTCATCGCTCCGGCACTGGCCAATCTGCGTGCTTTCCCCCTAAGTCACTTACTAATGGGTTCTTGTGGACATACACGTCTATAAGAACTAGGGTGCCAATCTGCCAATCCGCACGGTGCTGCATTATTGATAGGACTCGCCCATCCAACAGAGTCATAGTGTTTCAACCAAAGTGGACAAGACACGATACAAACTATACAAACCGTACAAACTCCAATCCGCAGGAGGGTCAAGACCCGGCAGAAACGTCCCGATGTCGCATCTTTTCGCCGTCCACCTGGAGATTTCCTCGGCCTCCTCGCACTTCAACGCCTGGAGAGTGCAGCTATGCAACCAACTGCGCAGCTTTGCAACAACCTGGTTGGAAAGCATGATCGACCTTGGCAAAAAGAGTTGGTGATTGATGTTCTCGTCGTCTGCTTTATGTTTTAGACAGAAAATGGAAGAAGCAAACCACCTTCAATTGAAGCAACCGACAAGACCACCTTTGTTGACGTTGGTCTTGGAGAAAACCACCTCTCAACAACCGTCGGTTTTCTTTACGGTTTAACGACTCCATGGGACCTATGGGGAACGGGAGCGGTCAGCGTCGTGCCGTACCTCGAGGTCAGCGGTCCACACGGGACAGTTGACATAGCTCCGGAGATTTGGCACCTGAGACCGAGCCAAACCGGTCGACGTGTATATCATTGTATATCGATATAATATGCTAAATCGCAGGTAGGAAGAAGAACATAAGACCCCCCAAACGACTCACCCGGTGAGCTTGTTTGGAACAAACAATCATTGCTTGATTCTCTTTGGAGGCGTTTCCGGCTGGAGGAACCCAAAACACTCTTTCCATACTGCATGTGTTCACCGGTCCAAAACCACCGGTCCACGCGGCATCGAAGTCTCCAACCTCGAAACGTCTCCAGCGTAGCGAGACGTCCTCGGTCTCGCCGGTCTCGCCGCCGACCTCAGTCGCCACGGCCACGGTACCACGGCGATGGACTGCCAAGAAGGACCTACTACTCCAGCGTCACGGCAAAACAATGGTGATGTCACTATATGCTCCATGTCGAATGGTGATGCAAACGGGAGAGGGTAAGATTCAGTGATGGTTTCTTCTTCCGAAACTCCCAAGTCCAGATCAGCGTGGTTGAGGCAAGCCTCAAGAGTCCCTTTTAAACATTTATTGTGTCCATGCACGCTTTTTCAGACCATTTCAAACCTGGCCACCGAATGATTCGCACGTGTGCAGGGCCAACCCGCCACCGATTTCGGCAGTGAGCGCCATTTTAGTGAAACGAAATGCCGCCTCGAGAAGAAGGCGAAGGCGCTGCCGCCTAGGCAACGCCTTGACGCGAGGCGAATTGGATTTTGATACAGACCGATGGGGTGAGGCGCCCCGCCGGTAACCGCGACCATGTCCCGATGGTGCGTCATGCCCAGTCTGAGGTCTCAACGGAATGAAATTGCTGAAAGTCCCTGTAGATCCGAAGAAGCACCAAATAATTATATTGATTCTGATAGACCGGGGTTCTCTTTTTTGTCTCAACATGTCTCAACAGGCTTCTCTGAGCTGGCCCCTTTGATTCGCTCCTGTTGATTGGTCGACCGTTACCGGGCATGGGGATCCTCACCCGCAACGACCCCTTGAAACATCAGGCCGCGCGGTCGCGGCCCATCGAAGTCTTTTTGGCCCACTCAGCGACCGAACCACGCGCAGCGGTCACGGACGGCCGTTGGCAGGCGAAGCTTGACTGATCCCGCCAGGCGCGGCGGCAGCGGATTCCACGGCATGAAAGATGGCCTTTCCACCACCGGAGATGGGCCGAAGCGAGGCATCAGCGGAAGGTGCCAAGGGAAGCAGGATGGCCTTTCCACGGTTGCCAGGAAGCCGTGGGCCAGAGGATGACAAATTGAGATGGGAGGAGATGGGACGTGCGACATGGTTCAACCTGCATTTGTTGCGACCAGAACATGATGGAACATGAACATTAGTCCAGACGTTTCTCTTGCGACCCATGGCTACGAATGGTGCCATGGCTGCTAGATTTTGCACCTCAAATGACACGATTTAGGTTGCTTCGCGAAGAAGAACCACCCGCTGGAAGGTTGGATATAAGTTGGGCCCCCTTATATTGCAGAGTTTGAAGGGGTCGAAAAAACAGAATGATATCATACATTCAATAAGATACAATGGAATTCCATTCAACAGAAAATACCACAATGCAATACAATGAATAATGCATAGGAAACAAATTGCACATTACAGGAATTGTTGAATGTCATTAAGCTGGACCCCTGAAAAATATACAATCTCAAAAAGCATGTATTACAATTTTCAAAGGGGTCGAAAGCACGCATCATACAGCAATACAATGCGATACAATATGATACAGAGTAGAGATACATTTGATCTACGACACCTCTACCGACCTGAATAGTCTTCGACCCACAGGATCGATAGGCCAAACTGGAATGGCTATGGCGAAGCGACCTGACTACAGGCTTCAACCAACCCCATTGCGCAAGGCCCCACAAGCCGGGCCTCTGAAAATGCTGCGTGGTGACTCCACGTGTTGAGTAAAAGGCCGTCCTGAAAATGGACAGGAAATGGACAGGATCCTGCAGCTCAACTCACCAATTCAATCCATGATCCACTAATAAAAGACATCAAAATCACCGCATGTCCAACCGAAAAGTCTACGAAACAATACTGTTCTTCCAAACTGCGACGGATGGATGTATCTTGTGTGATGTGAACACGTGTGACACATTGTGACATGTGTGACACGTGTGTGACACCGCCGGGATCCGAGGATCCAAAAGCTCTCATCGCTCATGCGCAAGGTCTTCTTGAAGGCCTCCCCGACGGTGAGAGACGACGACACCGCTTCGGACACCGGCGGAGGTGGACGGAACATCACGCTGCTCAAAATTAATTACACACTGCTTTTTCAAGCAAGAAAAGCAGGGCGTTTTTTCCACCAAGAAAAGAATCCAGCAATCCAGCAACCACATATTGGATTTCCTCGAATTTACACGAATTTAGCAATGCAACACACCGAGTTGATTGCTGTAACATATGCCGCCCTCCCAAGTTCCTAAGCATCAAGTTCTCAAGAAGCACTTGCCGCTCTATCCCTGCGTAAACAGACGTTTGAATGGCTCTTGCAGAGTCAACATGTGCAGAACTGCCCAAAATACATGCCATCCATATTGTCATCCATGCCTATCTTACAGTCCATGAGTTCCAGAACAGGTCAAACACACCCTCTTTCAACTCAACAATCAACTATCAACAATCCATCTGCCACCACCGGAGCTCCGACGCCTCGAAGGCCACCTTCTCCTCTTCCCGCTTCTTCTCGATCTCATCGGCCAGCGCCAACATCTCGGGCAAGGTGACACCCTCGGCGGCGAGGAAGGCCCGGGCGGCCAGGGCCAACAAGTCCATCTGGTGCCACTCTGCATTGATCTCGGCGTTCGTGCGTACCAAGCAACTCTCTTCCTGACACGGCATGGTCACTTTTCGTGGCGTGCAGTTGCTGAGGGGAGGTGGGGGAAGAGAGGAGGAGACTGTGGTGTGAGCAGCTGGTGCGAGCAGTTTTGCCTTTGCTGCGAGATTCTTGGAGTGGATTCAAAAGGGCTGCATGGGTGTAGCAACGAAGAGAGCATGGCCTACGAAGGCACCCTGAAAAAAGTGTAGCGGCGGATGAACAGTCTAGAAAAGTGTCTCCGATCTCATCTTCCAATGAATTCCAAAGCTATAGTTATATGCTAGTCCAAAAGGTCAAGAACTTGGTTTGCAAGGAACTTGAGCAACAAGTTCTCATCGTTGAAACCTGCTGAGAGGATCTGAAAGGTGTCTACGAACCTCTTCCACACGCGTCTGCGGTCATGTCGAAGTCTTGACACCAATTCCTTCGCGCCGGATCCGAGGCCTCGATCGGGGTCAGTGTCTCAACTGTCACCTCCTGCAGCGAAGACGGTGTCTTTCGACGTGCCTCGACGTCTCGGCAGACTGTTGATGAATATAACCACCACCCGTCTGTAGATGGTAAAGGATGGTAAAAAAAAAAACGTTCGACCCGGTTCTATCTGATCCAGAGTCAAAAACCCCGAACTACGACGATCCCATGGTTTTGTCGACCCTTTTCTCCAGCAAACCCAGCGGTTTTGGAGGTCCATTGTGGTCCTGGACCTCTTAAGGGGTCGCCTGTTTCGCTGTCACCGGGAGCCATGGACGATGCATCCCCCAATTGGCATTGATGTATGGGGTCTATGAGTCTATAGTCCATCTAGTCATCTATAGTCAGTCTATCTGTTTCCAGCGGAGAGCATCCTATGCCATGTCCGTAAAGAATGGCCCAGGCCTCTAGCAACCTCCGAACATGCTGAATTATGCTGAATTAATCTTCTTGTTCAATATCCCTGCTCAAGGTTAGGTGGCGTTAAGTGCAAGCCACAAAAGAAACATCAAAACACATCGCATTTCTGTGGAAAAAGATGTCAGGATCTTCTTTGAAGACCACCTGCCGCTCCGCGCTCTGCCCGTCTCTTAGCCCGTCTTCCCAGTCACTCCTGCTTGGCCTGGTGCTTAGCTCTGCCCACGTGATGCTTGCCCAAGATGCGGGGAAGGATGTCTTGACCCTTCGGCACTTGCTTCTCTGGGTCGAATGTGTAGCACGACATGATTTGCAAATTGAAACGACGACTAATAGGGATAGCTCGGGCCAGAAGAGCCGCAACCTAGGCGCGGAATGTCAAGGTTTGGGTTGTCCCAGAAGATTTGACCGATTCTTGTGGAAAGCACCTGTGCAGGACATGACAAGTCACAAAGAATGTCCATGGCACCAACAGCAACACTGCCTATATAGTCGCTCTACAAGCGGGTTCGAGTTCCTGCTTCATGTCACTGTACGGCTGAATTGGCATGTCTGAAAGCTTGAGATCACGACACTTTTGCGCCAAATCTGCTTGTTCTGGGCTCCTTTTTACAAGCTCATGTCCAATGCACTCTGTGCATCTCGGTGCTAAGTTCACTGGAAGCCAAACATCTTTGACCCTCGGCGTGCCACAGAAGACCGCTGGCATAAGCGGCTGCAAAGTTCTTGTCCATCCGGGATTCCAAAAGAATAAAAGGGCAGGCTCATTGGAGGAGGCGGCGGCCACACTCACATAACTAGCAGAAGGCACACTGACACAAGACACGGCTGGCTTGCGCAAGTGCTTTTCCTTTATGCCATAGTTCCCGGCTCTCCTTCTTTTTGCGCCCTTGAAATGCCTCCGCTGAAAGCTTCTATTCTGGACATGGAGGTCTTGCACACTGCAGTGGCACCAGGGATTTCGACAAAGCAGCCAGAATCTTCTGCAAGGCTTTCAAAATGCTTTCAGCCTCCAAAAATTGACATCGGGCAGAAGCCAGGGTATAGAGACAATTGACAGTGAGAACCTGGCACGGCATCGATGCTCACCCGCGGTGGCGGGCGACGTCTTGCGCCTCCCGCAGTTCGACGGCTGCCGACAGCGAGTTCCTCTCCGTGCCTGACTGGTTGGGTTTCGGATGACTGGTTTGCTGAGCTGACTTACCCAAACACGATGAGTCTGGGACTGCCATAGGACTGCCGCCCCAGAAAGACCCCCCCTGGCACCACCACCCCTGGCCTGATCGGCATATATGGCAGTCCCATGGAGTGTCTGGGACTTATACTTGCTAGCAACTTATGGTGTCGATATTTAAAGAGAAACACCAACGGAACGAAAGGAACCACAATGGGCTCACCAAAGGAACCGCATCCGTTTCCCACTGGCTCACCCACGTGACACGGCTACGTTCAAAGAGCTGCTGACCCGGGACCCAATAGAATGTCAATTGTTTCACTGCCCAAAAATTACAGAACCCTTTTCTTCATTCCAAACACTGGAACAACTCAAATGTTCGCCGTCCGCCTGGTCTCGAGGGCATGGTCTGTATGTAGACAGCTTGGATCATCGGGAACCTGTCCTGGAACCTGCCAAATCATCGGGAACCGCTCCCAGGCAGAGCTCCCGAGCGAGGCGGCCTGAGCTGAGCTGAGCCGAGCTCAATGAAGCAACGGCTGGAGATGCCAGAAGGTGTTCATATTCTCAGCCTCACTATTCATACGCCGTCGTATCGGTGAGGCTGAGATGAGACCCAGAATTAGTTGAAACAGACATGCGAAAGGCAAAACCAACCAGCTTCGTGCCTCGATCCGGGCTGGTGAGAGCACCTGGCAACCACAAGAATCGTTCCCCATTCCCAGTTGCGGTCGTGTTTTGCTACTTCTACAGTTCCTAGATTGCAACTTACTATAAGCATAATAGATAAACTATGGCACCCGCAATTCAGCATGTTGAAAAGAAATGAAAAGGATATACTTTTTCCTCCTTGGCCAGACTGGGTCAATGATCCTTGCAAAAAACAACACTGACCAGATGCTGACCAAATGAAACGATTAAGAACGCAAGCTAATGAGAACTACTAACTATGTTTGTGTCACTCCCTTCGGACACCAAAAGCTCATCGGCACGTCGTCCTGTGCGACATGCGACTTGTGCCGGCTTCACACATCGCAAAGCTTCAGCAAGACGCTGCTCAAGACAGCAGAACACACCGACATCGAAAAGGCATTCCCCGTCAAATCGTGGCAAAGCCTGCGGTGCTTGGTGAGGAAGGTCTTCTTCGCTGCCTTGAAGTCCTTGGCAAAGATGCCCTGCAGGGCCAGCACCTCCTCAGCACTCAAGAAGCGATTCTGATTGTGCCAAAACGGGGTGCTGTTGGCCACCAAGCAGGGCGTGCGATTCAGCTGCGTTGGTGCTCTCTTGTCGCTCTTGGCCACGTCGACGATCACTTGATCACGAGGGCTTCGCTGTTTCGCCTTCTTCAAACCAGCCTTGGATCTGCTCAATTAAAGAACCGGGAAGAATTATGACGTATATATTAATTTATGCGTGCATACATTTACATATCCCAAGAAGGGAATTCGGAAAATACAAAATCATCCTCAAAATCAGGTAGCCTTGATGACCCTCCTCTGCCGTGCGTTCAGAGTCTGCTTCGGTGGCATCCCCATTCGACCGACCTTGAAATGCTTGAAGTACTTCTTCAAATCCATCGCCGGAGACTTCATCTGCTCGACCATGTCGAAGATCTCCTCGACATCGCATTCACTGAACTGGTCGCGGCGAAGGCCCACCATCCAACAACGATTGCGGCTTTGAGGAATGATGAAGTCGCTCGTGTTGAGGAGCTTGTAGTCAAAATGGTACCCTGCCTTCCTGGGCATGTCAAAAACCAGCGAGGACAACTCTAAATTACACGTGTTTAACCTGTCTAGACTCTGTAGAAGGGAATACTGCCTAGAAGTTCTAGAAGGGAAATCGCTAAAACGGAAACAGCATCCAAACACTCCATGTATGGCATATTTATACCTACATTGGGGGTGGTTTCGGGGGTGAATGCAGGGACACAAAAAATCAACAAATCACCTGATCAACAATGGTGCCGGGCTTCTTCATTGCATCTACCACTTGAAGAATCACCGGTGGATTGCCGTCATTCTTGGTGGTGATCCCCTTCACGTTCTCTGCAATCACCACCAATGGCGTATGCTTCTTGATGTAATCCATCATTCCACTAAACGTCTCACCGGTCTCACCACTGCCCTCCTTGATGCAGTTCTTGTAGGCCTTGCGGTCATTGTTCTCCGTAGAAACCGACTTGCAAACGAAGCCAGTAATGAAAATGTCCGCTGAAGGCACGCGTTCCTTGGCTCCAGTGATCAAATTCAAGACCTCATTGCGCCTCAACGTCTTGATGTCACAGAAGAGCCGCTGGACCTCAGGGAAGTTGGCCATGATCCATTCCTGCTTGAGCTTGTCGAACTCGCAGCTAAAGCTGCTCTCCAGGCCCAAGCATTTGGCCAAGACGATGGGAGAATCCGTGCCGCTGCACGCAGTGGCGAGTGTCAGTCCCGATGTCACTTCTCTGATCCGACTCCTTAAGCTTCGGACCGAGGTCCCTTGCTCTCGCGCCACAGCTCCCAGCTGCTGCTCGATGAAAAAGTTCGCCATGGTTTGGAGAGACACCCCTGGAACTAACTCGGTCTATCAGAGTCGAAAGCCCTTGAGGATCAAAGCCCTGCGTGACACGGTTGCCTTTGCGGCAAAGCAAACTCATGAAAAAACAAGGAATCAATCTTTTCTGTTTGGTCGTCTTCTTATATTTTTTTTTGTTTGGTTTGCCTTGTCTTGCTTTTCCAGCTTATGTTTTGATTGATCCCTACTCGTCGTTTTGATCCTTCCCGTTAGACGTCTTTGCTATACATGCCAACAAACGCAGGCAAGTGCAAGGCCTACCCAAAAGAAAACCAAAAGCATCAAGCACGAAACACATATGCATCCATTATGCACCTGGAGTGCAGCATATCACACCCGAAGGCTGCTTCTCACCATCGCTCCTGTAAACAGCTTCTTGGGAAACGAGAGGCTGAAAATCAAACTATCCGATTGCGAAGAAGAACTCTCCACATTTCAAAGTCTTCATTCGTACTTGCAGAATGCCCAATAAATACGACAAAAGCAAGTTGAGTCATGTCAACATTTCTTCTGAGCTCTATCTACCTGGCATATAAAATAATATATGGAGAATTCCTGGCGACCCTGTTTACATGCCAATAAGCTTGCGCTGCTGGACAACTTCGTGTTTGAGCTAGAAGGAACATAATTGACTAGGGAAACATGTCGAAAAACCTGTACACTGTAGGAAGTCGCTGGTACGAACATCTGGGAGACTGAAACTTGAATCCCCCCAAAACTCCCAAATACATATAGTATGCTGTTACAAAGATTTTTATTATGGTGAAACGCAGCGAAACGATGAGCGGTGAATTCCTGCTGCGACACTGTGTGAACTGGTCAATGTGTGATGTTGTGTCGAGATGCGAAGAGCTCTTGGTGGGGCAGTGTTTACTTCAACTTGCTGTGATGAAGTGGCCTTGTCTTTTACCCAATGGATCCCGGGTAGAACATGGTAGAACTATGGATTTGGGCCGACATGGTCTCTTTCCCTTCACCGTCTCCGGCCGAGATCTCGCCTGAACCGACGCCTTTTCGGTCGCCCGGACCGCGCCAGCGAGGCCTTTTCGGTCGCCCGGCATGCGGTCGCCATCAGCGGATGGCCTCGTTTTCCGCCTCAATGGGAGAAACAAAAGGGAGTATACCAGTCCCCCAAGTGAGTGGATGTGACAAGGGCACCCCGAAATCCTCCAATAGGCACCCCTTTGTGACTGCTGGTATAGGAACAATAGTTTCTATTATGAAGGGCAGAATGGCCAGTCTGTGAGAGAAGAATCGCCTTTAGCTCTTAAAGGCCTCGAAGCACACATCTTGTAAACTATGATTCACCGATAATTTATGCAATTCTTAATTTACACACAACATCACACAACTTAATCCAAACACTGCATGCATGTTTGGTGGTTTCTTCGTCTCTTTGCCTAAACGCTGCGTTCGACCTGCACCGTGTTTTCCCACCTTTTTGACCTATTGAGGTTCACCGATCTGCTGTTCCTCTTGTGGGGCACGGAGAAACCGATCTGCCGATCTCCACCGACCAGCTCCGACCGACCTGGGGAACCGAGAACGCCCAGCAGAGAACGCCGGTCGCCGGTGTCGAGGAACTTCGCGGAGTGATTGATGGCAGTTCGCATGGCGGGCTTTCCGTGGCGCTTTCCGGGTGACTGCCTATCCCACCAGCATGGCTTTCCACTGTCTTCCTAACTTCACCAAAACAAGCGCACCATGTGAGAATCGCCTGCAGTGAAAGAGGTGGAGTTATGAACTATATGAAACGGTGTGATTCGTCGATGCCCTCAATTGTTCTGTGACTGCTTGAACCATCCAAGCAGAAGTTCCAAGCAAAACCCCTCCGAACGCTTGCTTTGCTCACATGATCTGCTATGACTTTCCGAACACAAACCTCTTTCCTTTCGCGACTCCAAGTCACCCTAAGTCAAGCCTTATCATCCCTTAGTCGACACGATCGCTTCCGGGCACATCCAGACTTATGTTTGGAGGTCAACCTGTTCTTTTGCTAGACTTTCTCTTTGTTTGTCACTGTTATTCTTGTTGTTTTTCTTCTTTCTCTTGGCCTCTGGGGTCCCTCACCACGGCTGCCAGGGCCCTCACGTGGGAGTCATTCACCAACACCTGGAGGATGGAGCGAGGCGTCTCAACTGGTAGAGGCGAGGCGTTGCTCTGTCGCGACGAGGCCATGTCAGTGGTGACGTCAGTAGGCAGGTCCTGCTATGAATTGGATTCGCTGTAGGTCCTTCCGGTCCTTGGTTGCCATATGTTGCCATGGTTTTTCGTTGACGCAAGGCTTCTGAGGCTTTTTGGTTGCGCCAACCTTCCTTCCGCCGTGTGTTCATGGTACTTTTTGGGTGGTGACCAAAGTTGCCAACTGGGATCGCTGCTTGGGTTCTAAGTGCTTTGCTTGTTTAGGATGAAGGAAAAAAAACAAACATCTCGCAAATTCTGAACAGTGCAGGGCCACGAGCAGAACACCCGGGTGTGATCTGCTTGGTGTTTTTTTGTTGATGATCTGCTTGTTTGCAAAAACCACACCCAAAACGAAACCATGCAAAACAAATGCGAGCAACACAGCATCACTACCACCATGGTGTTTAAAGCACGTGTCCCAAAGTGGTTTCTTTAAAAGAGATCGACGACACTTAAGCAACCGGTGTGTTTTCAACATCATGCAGTGCTTCCTGTTGCCTTTGTTCCTCTTTGTGAAGGGGTGAAAACTGAGATCGGTGATGTGGTCGATGAAATGATCGGGAGAGGGGCACCTTTGAAGACAATTGGAGTTTCTGCAAGAGTTTGCGCTCCTCTTTCCCACGGACATGCAGCTACCTATGCATAACCAGAACAACTCTCATGGCAGCAAAGCTTTCGCAGCTTCCACCACTGCAGAAGCGGTGAAACAAAAACAAAACACACTTCTTATGACTAGATGTAAACTTTAACGCAAGATCGACGATTAGAAACACAAACAAATTCACCTGGCGCTGTCCAATGACCTCTGGAGTCACACGGTGCTTTGGAAAACGTCCAACGTCTTCCAACTACCCACCACAGCGTCACATTCTGCGGTCTCACGTCGTCACATCCCCGTCCAGTGGGTCCCCGGACCCACTGCATCTTCAAGTGCTTCGCCTGGAGAGAAGTGGATAGGGGAAGAACCGGTTGCTCTCGTTCACCTCCTCTATTTGATATGCACTATGAAAACGAGGTTTCGACGTTACGGAACGCCTTTTTCCCTTGAGCCAAAATACGTCAAGAGTCACGTGTCTGCAGTACCTATAGCGGAGTATATATGGGCTGTACATACAAACACTCCTCCTCTTGCAAAGCACTGTACTGCTGCGCAAGCATAAAAGTAAACATGTGAAACTCTCGCTGCTTAGCCACTTTCAGTTATGGTAGTGGAGCTTGGCCAGGGACCTTACTCCAAAACATCTAACTGTCCTTTGCTTCGCTTGCTGAGGAATGCATATTGCAGGTCCTCCATGGTTTTGCGAAGCTGCACTCCAGGAACCGACTTGGTCAAAACATCGGCTTTGTTCTTGACTCCTGGAACGTGGTGCACCTTCAAGTGGCCCTCGGCGACCCTTTCTTGCAACCATAGGTAGCGAGTCTGGATGTGTCTGGCTTTACCCAAACCCACTCTATTCACAGTTCCTTTGGCTGCATTGGAATCGCCCTCGATGGTGACTCCTAATTCCAAACCAAGGTCTGCGCATAGGCTTTGGAGGCCTAAGCCCACAGATCCTCCCTTCACAAGTGCATAGTACTCACTTTCACCTGTAGAAAGGGCTACAGTGGATTGGATGTTACTACTGTGTTTCAACACATGCATGCCATACATAGCAACCATGCCAGTCGTGCTTTTGCGTGTCACAGCGTCACCACCATGGTCGGCATCGACCTGCACCCTCAGCCTTGAGGGCGTCTGCTGCGAGCCAAAACATTGCCCAACATCAGGATATTTCTTCAAGTACCTGATGAGACGCTTCAAGTCAGCAAGTTTGGCTTCTGTTGGTGATACCATACCTCGAGCAAGGTTCTTGACTGCGTGCCCAATATCAAGTCGATCTTGGGACAAGTACGCAGCACGCATCGTTGCTGAACGATACTTCGATGCCTCGCTCTTATCAAGCAGCGGACTGCGGCTTTCCAGCATCTGCTGACCTGCCGACTTCTTGACATCTGGTGATTCTACACCATTTGCCTTTTCCAGACCAAATGCCTGGATCAAAAGATCAACATGTCTCCGATCGGCTTCGATCACAATCGATCCTTTGCCGTTCTTCTTCTCAACTCGGATTAACCGATTCAGAAAATGAGCTTCTGTTCGGTCTCCATCCTCGTCTCCAAGAATTCCGAGACATTTCAGCTCATAGGCATCTTTGAGGACTTGGCTGAGCTTCTCCAAGTGTTGGGCGTCCCCAAGCGCTAGGAAGTCATCTCCATGCACCATCACTCTGACGTCCCAAGCTTCTTGGTAGAAGACTGACGCATTTGACAAGCCTCTGCGGAAACCAGCTTTCTGCAGAGTCTCTGTGTAGTGCGTCTGCCAGATATTTGGAGCATCCTGTGTTCCATACATTGACTTCACGAGAAGTCCACAGGTTTGTCCATCTTTGCTGGCTTCGTCCTCAGGCGGCAGCTCTATGTAGATCTTTCTCTTCGGAGTTCCATAAAAGTGTGCTCGTGAGATGCCCCACAAGCCCAGCTTCAGCGGCTGGTTGTGGCAGGACTTTCTCTTTGTTGCCCACAACGAGCACAGCAGTCTCATCGCCTCCAATGGGGGCGTGCTGCTGAAAAGCAAGTTGGCTGGCAATTGTTCTTCTTTGGTCTTTCTTGCCTTTATCTCACGCACAACTAATCGGCTCCTATAGTTCGGGTTTGTTGGATCTCCCTTGTTGGTGTCCAACCATCTGACTGGAATCGGGGGCTTCCCCGTTTCCTCAAAACATTCGGCTCTCGGCCGGGTCACATAAACACCA